CTGTGAAACATCACCTGTATTACAACACCTGTGAAACCACGGGGATCCAGTTCCAGATCCCCCTTCCCCGAATTCCAGCATTGCTTGTCCCTGCCAGGGCTGGGAAGGACTTGGGAGCCCGAATCTTCCTGGATGTGGGATGCCAGGTTCTCCTGGATCTTCCCAGATTCCCCCAGATTTTCCCAGATTCCCCTGGATCTTCCCAGATCTGGGATCCCGGGTTCTCCCGGATTTTTCCAGGTTCAGGATCCCAGGTTTTCCTGAATTTTTCCAGATTCAGGACCCCAGGCTCTCCAGAAGTTTCCCAGATTCTCGTGGACTGGGGACCCCAGATTCCCCTGGATTTTCCCGGATTCAGGATCGCAGGCTCGCCCGGACTGGGGATCCCCCGGCTCTCCCAGGCCCTACCTGGCAGTACCGAGGGGATTTGGGATCCACGTCCACGGTGGCCAGGAAGTCGGGAATGCCGATCCCGGTGTTCCGGTAGATGCAGGGCAGGTACAGCAGCTGCTCCCGGGGCCCTGCGGGCACACCTGGGGCTCAGATCCCCAATTCCAGAGCTCCCAGCAATTCCAGCATTTGGGAATGCCCAATTCCAGCACTTGCCTTTCATGGCCTCCAGAGGGCTGGCATAGCCCGGCCCGCACGCTCCGCATTTTCCTGCTGGAAAAGGGCAAAATTCCATCACTTCCACATCCCAAAAATCCTGGGAATTTGGGGCCTTCCATTGGCTCCTCATTGGCAATTCCCCACTGCCATCTCCCAGCCTTAAATCCATGGAATTCCCCATTCCCAATTCCTCATTCCCATTTCCCAGCCTCAAATCCAAGGAGTTCCCCATTCCCAATTCCTTATTCCCAGCTTCTCATTCCCAATTCCCAATTTTTGTGCCTTTGCTCATTCCAGGGGAAAAACCCATTGGAATTTATCCCAACTTTGGGCTCCCTGAGTTGTCCCAAAGTGCCAGATTAGGAGGGATAAATTTGGGATTTTAGCAAGGGCTAGGAAAAAAAAAGGGAGTTTCTGTGCAATTCCAGGGTTTAATATCAAAAATATTCCAAGTTCCAGGGAGGAAAATCCAGAGTAAATTTGGGAAAATCAAATTCAAATTCAACTGCAAACAACAGAGGAGCCACTGAAAAAAATCCAGGAATTTCAGGAATCTTCTCCCAAAAAAACAAGTTCTCAAGGGATTTAGGGAATTCATTTTTCACAACATTCCAGGATTTATTTCCTTCCATAATTCCCAAGTTTTTGAGCTCCCAGATCATACCAGGCGCGTCAATCATTCCCAAAGTTATTTATTGACTTCCAGGAACTTGGACCCAAAAAAATTCCTCAAAAAATTCCACTTGGGAGTGAAAAAAATTCCAGGAAATTCAGCATATCTTTGGTTAGAATATTGATATTTTTTGGCTACACATTCCTGCTACTAATTCCTCATGTTTTGCTGGGTTTGATCCCAAAATTCCTGATATTTCCCCCCTGTTTTGAACTCCTGTTTCCCATGGAAACGGCTTGCAACTTTTTGGCCCCTCCCACTTTCCCCACAGAGCCAAAAGTCAAAGTTCCTGGAAATGCGAGGTTTTATCCTCACAAAACATAATCAGGAAAACGATCCTGGAAATCAAGGATTTATCCCCATAAATACGGAACACGTCAGGAAAAAGCCAAATCTGATCTTAAAGGATTTTTCCGAGGGTTTTTCCTGTTCCCAAGCAGCAAATCCAGGAGTTTCTCCCAGTTTTTGGAAGTTTAGGGATTATAAATTCCCAATTAATTCGAGGGAAAATGGATTTTAATGAAGGAATTCGAGCTCTTAATTAAAACCCACGGGGTTTTTAGGGGATATTTAAATATTTAAATCCAGGGAAAAGCCGGACTTTCACCCCCCCCAACCCCGGGAAGCCAAAAGCAGCAAATTTTGGTTTTTTTGGGATTGTTGGGGATTTTGGGATCTCTTACCCATCCTGAACCGGGCTGGGAATGGGAATTCCAGGAGTTTTCGTTGGATTTTTACGGAGAAACAGCCGGGAAAGGGTCGGACACCCAGGGGGAAAGGGGAGGGCTGTGGGAGAGGAGGAGCCAAGGGGAGGATCCCGGGCACGGAAAAAACAAAATTCCGCCTTAAAACGCCAAAGGGAAACTTCCAAACTTCTCCCTCCGCGGAATTCCCGCTTTCCCCCCCGATTTTCTCCTTTTTATTCCAAGTTTTCCTGACTTTTTTCCAGCCTGGAGAAGGAATTTGGGAATAGAGAAGGAGGGAGGAGTTTTGGTTCAAAACCTCGGGATTTTCGGAATGTTTCCTGGGAATTCTCTCCCAAGGGATTTCAGCAACTTTAAAAAATATTTTGTGGCATTCCTGGGTGAAAAAAAAAAATCCTCTGGAGAATCAGGATTTCACTCCTAATTCCTGCTGGCGTTGTCCCTAATGAGAATTAATTAATTAATTAATAATTTAGTATGGAATTTTTAAGGAATCTGCCCTTTTCCCCCCTCCTTCCAGGTAATGTTTATTTTGGAATTTCCAAAATATTTCCATTTTTTTACATCCCTGCTTTTTTTCCACGAACCACCAGGAAAAGCAGGCAAAAAAAAGGGATTCTTCTGCTATGAATAAAAGAGATGTAAATGATTATTTTGGGGTCGTTCCTTTATTATTGAAGATATTTAAATTCTTAATTATTTTTCCTTTTTTCTTTGGCAGTTTTACCAACACCTGCCCCAGGTGAGAGATTTTGCCCTCAGCTGGATATCTTTGGCCTCAGGGGTAGAATTTGTGCCCTCAGCTGGACGATTTTGGCCTCAGGGGGAGCTTTATTGCCCTCAGGTGGAGAATTTTGGCCTCAGGTGGAGAAGTGGAGCATTATTGCCCTCAGGTGGAGTATTTTTGCCCTCAGGTGGACAATTTTGCCCTCATGGGTAGAATTTCTGCCCTCAGGTAAACGATTTTGGCCTGAGGTGTGAGATTTCGGCCCCGAGCATCCCTCAGCTGTGAGGGCTGACCGCTGNGAAAATCCCGGGACAAACAAATCCCGGGGGGGCCGCGGGCGGAGCCGGGACCGCGGGAAGGGTCTGGGGGAAATTCCCGGCGCTGCCTCTTTTCCCGGGGTTTGCTTCCAGATGGGCATTTTATCCCCATTTGTCAGCTATTTTCCCCCTATTTTTCTTGATTTTATATTTCTATTTTCCCCCTATTTTCTTCCTATTTTTTCCTCTATTTTATCTTTATTCTTCTCTATTTCCCCTCGATTTTATCCATATTTTACCACTATTTTATCCCTACTTAATTTTTATTTTATTCCTATTCTATCCCCCTATTATCCCTAGCTTATCTTTAGGCAACAAAAGAGGAGGGAAAAATGTCAGAAAATGACGGGTTTTTTTAATCCAAATTGCCAAAAGTGCCCAAAAGCCTAAGAAAAAGGGAAATTCAGCTGCTGGAAGGAGAATTTTATTGTAAGTTTTGATTTTTGATCAGAAATCTCAGAGATGATTTTTAGGAGAGGCTGCTCCGCGAGCAGATGAAGCCCCAGGCACCCCAAATTCCCTGGGAAAAGGAATGGAGAGAGGAAAGGTGTGTGGAAAAAATGGGATAAATCCTGAATTTCCTGGGATCAAAGGCAGATGGTAGAGGTGCAGTACCCACATTCCCAAATATTCCCAAATATTCTGTCGCCCAGAGAAATCAGGATATCCATGATCAGCCCTTCTCGAGGGAATTCCAGAGGAAAATCAGGGAATGGGAGCAGAGAATTCCGGCGGGCTCACAGCCAGATGTCGGAGGTGCAGTCCCACATTCTCCCATTCCCAATCATTCCCGGATATTCCCAGATTTCCCCGGCATTCCAGCGGGCTCACAGCCAGATGTCGGAGGTGCAGTCCCACATTCTCCCATTCCCAATCATTCCCGGATATTCCCAGATTTCCCTGGCATTCCAGCGGGCTCACAGCCAGATGTCGGAGGTGCAGTCCCCCCCCGGGTAGCGNTCTCCCGGCGCTGCCGCCCCCTCCTCTCTTTGGCGGCGCTGCTTCGCTGGTGGGCGGCCATGTTGGGCACGGGGATTATTTTTCGCTCTCTTTCTTAGCCGCCACAATACGCTGAGGGTGTGCGGGGGGCTTTTCCCGGAGTTCTCGGGAGAAGCGGCCTTTTCCCGCTTTTTAGGGGAGGCTGAGGAAAAGGGGAGGGTCTGGGATCAGCGGTTTGCAGGGTGAGACCCCCCCCCCCATCATCCTTGGCCTGCTGGTGCTTCACCTTCGCTGAGTGAGTGCCCCTGTCCAGCGCCGTGAGGGGAGGGAGCCTCTTGGCCGCAGGGATTGGGATCCCAGTCTTCTTCCTCGGGATTTGGGATTGGGATCCCAGCCTTCTTCCTCGGGATTTGGGATTGGGATCCCAGTCTTCTTCCTCGGGGATTTGGGATTGGTGTTCCTGCCTTTTCCTGAGAGATCCAGGAGTGCCATCCCAGCATTCTTCCTCAGGGATCTCACCTGTCTCTTCAGGGATTTGGGATTTCCATCCCATTCCTTTCCTCAGGGATTTGGGGTGGGTTTTCCAACCTTCTCCTCAGGGATTTGGGATCACCATCCCACCCTTCTTCCCAGTTTTTTCTGTCACTCTCAGCAGCAGCTCCATCCCCTCATCCCTCCCGGATCCAAGCAGGAAAAAATGGGAAAGCTCCTCATTTTCTCCCCTGCCCAAGCCGGGATCCCAGAACTCCTGGGAGAGGCTCAGGAATTCCCTCCCTCCAGCAGGATTTGGGATTCCATCCCCAAAACCCCTCGAGGCTGCTTCTCTGAAAATTCCCAGAGCTTGAGGTTTTGCTGGAATTCCCTGGGGCTGGGATGTGCCAGGGAGCTGGGGAGGGGTGGGATCCTGCTTCCCAAAAACCCGATTTTATTTGGATTCACTGGATTTTATTGGGATTCACCTGATCCCAGCATGGGCAGAGGATGGGAGGGATCCCACCAGAAAAATTCCCGAAGATGCTGGAGAAAATAATAATAAAACAATTTTAAAAAATCAAAATGAAGGATTTTAGAGGCTTTTAGTGATTAATTAGCACAAGTTAAATTTGGTCAATTAACGGGATTAGATTTTTCCTGATTTTTTTTTTTTATGGATGGGAAGGTGAAGGGTGAAGTCCCAAAGGAAATTTGCATTTTGTTTCCCAAATTCCTCAAAATTCTCAGAATTTTCCCAATTCCAGGGTGCTTTAGGGCTGCTAATTAAACAGAATTAGTAATTATTATTAACATCTAATTTACATCTAATTTGGGTGTGTTATCCACTTCAAAACCAAGGAAAACCAACCATTCCTGATATTTTTGGGATTATTTTTCCAGCTTCTCAAGGCCTGGAGATGAGGAATTTTTTGGGAAGAGGCAGGAGAGCATTCCAAGGTTCTGCCTGTGGGATAGGAGACAACAAAATCCATTTTTTTCCCCCATTCCAGGAAAATTTTCCACTATTCCCCCCATCCCAGGCTGAAGCAATGGAGAGAATTCCCAGATTGGGAAGCTGTGGTTAATTTTTGGTTTTATCCCTGCAAATTTTTCCTTTGATCACAAAATTTATGGAATTCTCCTCCCAATGCTTTTATTTTTATTTTGTTCTAATTTTAATTAAAAGCTTCCCAAACTGACGCTCCTGCTGCCTATTCTAAGCTGGGAATTTCGGGATAACCAAAAATCCGTTGGGATTTTTTTAAATCTTAATTTTTTTGGATTTAAAATTTTTAAAACTGTGAAATAACCTGGATTTTCTTAATGGAAGAGGAAAGAAAAAATTCCAATTTTTTGTCAAATCCAGGAATTTTCCCCAAATTTCCCTAGAAAAAACCCCAGAAATAATCTGAACATTTCTAGCTCCTTTGTTTTCCCTTGAAATTTTGGGATCTAAAACCAAGCCATTCCTCCCCTTGGAAAAAAAATCCCTCTGAGTTTTTTAGTGCCAAATTCCCTTTTCCCCCCCATTTTTTCCAGGATGGCAGACACGGACCTTTTCATGGAATGTGAGGAGGAGGAGCTGGAGCCATGGCAGAAAATCAGCGACGTCATCGAGGACTCAGTGGTGGAGGATTACAATTCCATGGAAAAAAATCCCACAGGTCATTTCCCCCTTTTCCCACTTCATTTTCCCCAATTTCCCCCCTTTTCCAACTTCATTGTCTCCCTTTTTCCACTGATGTTTCCCATTTTTCTCAGTGACTTTTTCATATTTCCCACCGACTTTCCCCACTTACATTTCCCCTTTCCCCACAGATTTTTTCCCCCCATATTCCCATGAATCTTCTCATGGATTATCCCTTTCTTCCCACTTAATTTTGTCCCTTTTTCCTTCACTTATTTTTCCCCAATTTTCCCATGGATATTCCCCTTCTTGGCATGGATTTTTTCCCACTTCCCCCCTAGACTTTCCCCCTTTCCCCCTTGAGTTTTTCCCCCTTTTGCCATGGATATTTTCCCCCATATTCCCATGGCTTTTTCTCCATATTCCCCTGGATTTTCTCCCTTTTCCCCCTGACTTTTCCCCCTGTATTTTCCCCAATATTCCCCTGGCTTTTCCTCCCTTTCCCCCTGTATTTCCCCTATATTCCCCTGTGTTTCCCCCCATATTCCCCTGCCATTTCCCCCATATTCCCCTGTGTTTCCCCCCATATTCCCCTGTGTTTCCCCCCATATTCCCCTGCCATTTCCCCCATATTCTCCGGCTTTGCCCCCATATTCTCCGGCTTTGCCCCCATATTCCCCTGTGTTTCCCCCCATATTCCCCTGGCTTTCCCCCCGTTTCCCCTGCCTTTTCCCCGTTTCCCCACGGCTGTGGGCTGTTTTCCAGGCGGGAACGCCGCTGTCCAGCCGGGCGGGCAGTCGCTGCTGCTGGCGCAGAGCCCCGCGCCCGGCCTGGGGGCCGTGGTGACGCAGCCGCTGCTGCGGCCGGTGCAGCTGATGCAGAACGCCAACCACGGCACCAACCCGCCCGCGGGCACCCAGCCCATCTTCATCACCACCCAGGTCAGCTCCTGGCCCAAAGCTCCACGGGGAATCCCAGGAAAACCCTGCTTTCCTGGGAAAAATTCCCATTCCTCACTCTGGTTTGGGTGCTGCTTCTCCTGTCATGCCAAAATCCCCCTGGGGTTGTGGGATGTGGGTTGGACCCCGTTGAGTGTTTGGCTCAACAAAACTTCAAACCCTCCAGAGATTTTGTTTTCCTTCAACTCCAGTCCTGAACCCCAAATTCCAGTCCTGATCCCAATCCTAAACCCCAACCTAAATCCCAATCCTAAGCCCCAAAACCCAACCCCAATCCTGGGTGATTTTTAGGTTTGTTTGAGATATTTTTTGGGGTTGGAATTCCCTCAGGAATGGCTTGGGGGTGACGGATCCATTGGATTCCAGGGATTATTTTTGGGTTGGTTTGGGACGGTTTTTGGATTGGTGTAGGATGGTTTTGGGTTGGTTTGGGACAGTTTTGGGGCTGATGCATCCCTTGGGTTCCAGGGGTTCCCGGTGCAGAACGTCCGGCCTGTGCAGAGCCCCATGAACCAGGTGGGCATCGTGCTCAATGTCCAGCAGGGCCAGACCGTCCGGCCAATCACCCTCGTGCCAGGTAATTAATTCATTAATCAAATGAGAACCATCCAGTAATAGCTAGTAATGGGAATAATGCTAGTAATGATGATGATGATGAGGTGTGGCCAGTGCAGAGCCCCATGAGCCCATCCTCCTTGTGCCAGGTGATAGCAATAATAATAACAATAACAATAACATGAATAATAGCTTACAGTAATAATAGTAGTAATAACAATGACAAGGGGCCAGTGTAGAACCCCATGGGCTGGGTGGGCTCCATCACCCTCTTGCCAGGTGATCATCATTAATAATATTAATAATAATTATCATTAATAAGAATAAAAGCTGTAAATCCCAAATAAAGGTGTAAATCCCATATTTCCTGGGATTGGGGTTGGATCATGGCTCTCTGTTTGTCTTTGAAGCCCCAGGTACCCAGTTTGTTAACCCAGCAGTTGGGATTGACTAATTCCACATACAGATTCGTAACTCGGGGTTACTCGCACCTGGATTAAAGCTGTAAATCCCAAATTTCTCCTTTTGGGACTGGGGTCAGATGACGGCTCTCTGTTTGTGTTTGAAGCCCCAGGTACCCAGTTTGTTAAACCAGCAGTTGGCGTTCCCCAGGTGTTCTCGCCG